ACTTTGTAATTAAGACTGCTAACAAGGATGGTCCTGTTGTTGTCTGGCAGACTGACCTCTGCATTGCAGAGGCTGAGCACCAGCTCTCGGACACATCCTTCTATCTCCCGCTGGACCATGACCCCACCATCAAACTATTGTGTCCCTGACTGTCACTAATCTCATCTGGGAGCTCCCTCCACCCACAACCTCATGGTCTCCAGACTCCTACAGCCCACTTTTACCTTCTTACCAAAATCCACAAACAGGACTGCCCAGGCAGACCCATTGTTTTAGCCTGTTCTTGCACCGTGGAATTTATTTCATCCTCCTTTGACTCAATTTTTTTCTCCCCTTTTCCAGTCTTTTCCCACTTACATAAGGTGCTGCATTTTGAAAAGGCAGGACTTATGAACTTTATGGTAAGGTCCTGGGGAGTGTTGCTGAACAAAGAGACCTTGGAGTGCAGGTTCATAGTTCCTTGAAAGTGGAGTCACAGGTAGACAGGGCGATGAAAAAGGTGTTTGGTGTCCTTGCCTTTATTGGTCAGTGCATTCAGTATAGGAGTTGGGAGATCATGTTGCAGCTGTACAGGATTTTGGTTAGGCCATATTTGGACTACCATGTGCAATACTGGTCTCTCTGCTAGAAGAAGGATGTTGTGAAACTTGAAAGGGTTCAGAAAGATTTACAAGGATGTTGCCAGGGTTGGAGGGTTTGAGCTATTGGGAAAGGCTGAATAGACTGGGGCTATTTTCCCTGGAGCGTTGGAGGCTGAGGGGTGACCTTATAGAGATTCATTCAATCATGAGGGGCATGGATAGGGTAAATAGACAAGGTCTTTTCCCCAGGGTAGGGGAGTCCAAAACTAGAGGGCTTAGGATTAAGGTGGAAAGACATAAAAGGGACCTAGGGGACAACTTTTTCACGCAGAGGGTGATGCATGTATGGAATAAGCTGCCAGAGGCTGGGACAATTACAACATTTAAAAGGCATTTGGATGGGTATATGAGTAGAAAGGGTTTAGAGGGATATGGACCAAATGCTGGCAAATGGGACTAGATTTATTTGGGATATCTGGTCAGCGTAGACAGATTGGACTGAAGGATCTGTTTTCGTGCTGTATATCCATTACAAACCCACTGACTCCCAACGTTACCTGGACTATTCATCCTCACACGTTGTTTCCGGCAAAGACTCCATTCAATTCTCCCAGTTACACCGTGTCTGTCACATCTGTTCTGTTGATGCTACTTTCCGGAAGGGGCCTCAGAAATGTCCACCGTTTTTCTCAATCAAGGATTCCCTACTACTGTGATTGACAGCTGTGTGCAACCCATTTCCTGTACTTCTGGCCTCACACCTTCCATTCCATTCCCTCCCACAACAACAGTAGGATCTCCGTTGTCCTTACTTTCTACCCCACAACTAGGAGGCATCCACCAGACACGCAGCCCCCTCCCCTCCCCTCCCTTGTCAGCATTCTGCAGGAACTGCTCCCTCCAGGACACTGTAGCCCACTCCTCTTCCACTCCCAAAACCTCCTCACTCCCCATGGAACCTTCCTATGCAATTGCAGAAGGTACGACACCTGCCCATTTACCTCTTCGCTCCTCACTATCCAAGGCCGCAGACCCACTTTCCAGGTGTAGCAGCAATTTACCTGCATGTCACTCAGTCTAGTCTACTGTATTCGCTGCTCACACTTCTGTACGTTGGGAATACAAAATGCAGACTGGGTGATCGCTTTGCTGAACGCCTAAGGTCTACCATAAAAATGACCCTGAGCTTCCAGCTGCCTGCCACTTCAACACCCCGCCATGTTCCCACACCAATATTTCTGTCTCAGGTCTGCTGCCGTGCTCCAGAAAAGCTCAACACAACCTGGACGAACAATACCTCATCTTCCGTGTCGGTACCTTACAGTCCTCAGGACCCCACACTGAGTTTAACAATTTCAGAGCAAGAGCACCTCCCTCCATGTTTATCACCCACTCTCACACCTCCCTCTGGGTTCCTGTTATCGTCTGTTCACACTTCCTATTAGCACACTCCTGACTTTTCTATCTCAGGGTTTATCATTAGCAATCTCTGTTTGCCTGTCTCTCGACTTGATTTCCATGCACTGTATTTACCACCCCCCAGCCAACCATCTATTGTCCATTTTGACAAACGGTAACTGGACTGAAATGTTAACTCTGTTGCTCTCTCCACAGATGCTGCCAGACCTGTTGAGTTTCTCCAGCATTGTTTGTTTCAATCAGTACAAATGCTACAGTTTGCTTGGGTTAAAAGATTGGATGGTGCTCTGTAAACACTAACCCTCTTGTGGAAACAAACACAGAAAATGGGTGCAGGTCTAGGCCATTCGGCCCTTTGAACCTGCACCACCATTCAGTATGATCATGGCTGATCAGCAGACCTGAGACAGAAATATTGGTGTGGGAACACGGCAGGGTGTTGAAGTGGCAGGCAGCTGGAAGCTCAGGGTCATTCCCATTCCCGTCCTCTCTCCACTCCCCTTGATCCCTTTAACCGCAGGGCCATGTCCAGCTCCTTCTTGAATATATCTAATGAACAGGTCCCAACAGCTTCCTGTGGGAGAGAATTCCACAGGTTCACAACTCTGAGTGAAGAGATTCTTCCTCATCTCATTGCTGAATGGCTTAACCAGTATTCTTAGACTGACACCTAGGTTGAAGGTGCTGTATAATGGGAAGAGTTTTCATGAACATTAGTTTATCCCTCGTCAGGGAACCTGAACCCAAAGCTGTGCCCCATGGGTGCCAACTGACTTAAATCGATCTTTCCTGTGTTCATCAACACCCATCTTCAACTCACATTGGCTTCTAATCCCCAGCCTGTTCAGTTGATACAATAAAGGTGAAGTGTGAAAATTATGTCAAAAACCAATTGTATGTTTAAAGCATTCCTCACCTGCTGCTTGTCCCAACACTTTACAACCAACGAAACCATTCTGAAGTGCTGCTGTCACTGTTTGAAGGTGGGGAACCGAGAGAGTGATTCACTACCAGAGGTGACGTCTTTTGGATTGGATGTTAAACCGGGATCCTGCCTGCTTTCTCAGATGGATGAGAAAGATCCCAAGCAGCCAAGATTCAAAAAGTAAGAGGATTCTCTCCAGTGTCCCAGGTAACATCATCCTGTGTCGTTACAACAGGTGAACTGATCATTCTTGAATTTCCATTTGTGACTGTAAGATCTCCTATATCACAATAGGTGAAAAAGTACTATAGGTATGCAAATCCTTCTGAGAACATTAAGCCTAAAACTACTGGGCTACAGCAATGAATGATTCATCACAGATCACCACACTGTTAGGCAGCACTCCTGCTAAAAACTGCCTGCAGGTATCAGGGAAAGGGATAAATCAAGGTTTTCTTTGACGGTTTTCACAGTCGAGACCTTGTCACTGTGTGTACAGAGTGCTTTGCTGCGGGTATAGAGAGTCAAGCAGTGAGCTCATCAGAAATGATGTTTCCTTCTGAACGCCCCCGATAATTCAATCAAACCTCAGAACCGAATACTCCGAATACTCCTCAAACAATATTCTGGGCACAGTATCAGAACACAAAAGATTAGCACGGATCCTAGCAATACTCGACATCAAGTACAAAAAAGGACATGAGAATCCAGCTTGGTCGATTCCTACTACACACACCAGCCCCATGTCTGTAACTGGGCCTGATTTTGAACAAAGTCCCCTTGGGCAACTGTCTGTGTGGAGTTTGCACATTTTCCCCATGTCTGCGTGGGTTTCCTCCCATAGTCCAAAGATGTGAAGGCTAGGTGGATTGGCCATACTAAATTGCCAGTGTCCAGGCATGTGTAAATTAGGTGGGTTATAAGGGGATGGGTCTGGGTGGGATGACGGTCAGTGTGGACATGTTGGGCCGAAGGGCCTGTTGCCACACTGTAGGGATTCTATGATCTATGAAAGGACAGAGTGAGAACTTGAACTCTGTATTTCCCAAAACTGGTGACTGCTTCTACCCTGGACTGCACTGCAACCTTGGACCATCCTGTCCCCGTCGCCTGGTAATTTTATTTTGTGCTCAACAACCTATATGGCTATCTGGTTAACTGACACCTCAATTTTAAAAATTCCCCTATTTGTTTTCAAATCCCACCAAGACCTCACCTAACCCCATCTCTGAAATCTCTTCTAGCTCTCAGCAGCTCTGTGCTCCTTGAATTCAGGAGGTTTGAGTGTCACTGACTTGAAATATTCCACTTGGGCTGTTTGGACCCCAAACTCTGGAATTCCCTCCCTTAATCTCTCTAGTTCTCTCAGCTCCTTTAACACATGCTTAAACCTGACTGAGCTGACGAGGCTGATTGTCTAAATGTGTTATTATGCAGCTATGAAGGTGCCACATAGATTCAACTTGTTGATCACATCAAATGCAGCAAACTTAGGTAGAATACAATAAGGGTCAGGAATATAGCACAGGATACAGAATACCTCCAGAACAAAATGTCGCAGGTGCTGAAGATCAGAAATAAAAACAAAGTGAGAAAAACAGTGATAGAGCACAGTCTAGCTGGTCTCTCTCCCAAACTAGACATATAGCAGACTCGAAATATTAACTGTGTTTATCTCTCTCCTGTCAGACCCTGCTGAGATTTTCCAACAACTTCCGATTTTATTTCTTTACTTGAACAACATCTCAGTACAAGAGCTTGATCAGGCAGAATGCTCAGGGTATTGGGCAGCATTGTAGAGTCCCACTGAGTGCAATGCCAGAGTAATAAAGGTCAAGCAGAGAACGGAAGCATCTTGTGCTCCATACTGGAAAGAGTCACTTTCTGACAGCCTACATTTCTAGAACATCTGGAAATACAAGCCACAGTGACACGATGCAGGATCCAGCCGAGTTGTCAAACTCAGATACCCAACTGGATCGAGGGAGGGGAGGGGAGTGCACAGAAAGGGGTCTCACCTGGATTCCAGTGCTGGCAAACAATGACTGTGAAATAAATTCAGCCTACAACTTGGCTTCAAGGTTAAATTTAATTCAGCTTGGAAGGTAAACGTAACATTTCAGGGTGAGTTTGTTCCAAATACAAGTGTCTGTTTTCAGCTCAGGACCTGGCCAACTGTGTATGTGTGCCCAGTGAGCAGCCATTTCTCTCTGCGGTGGGTCAGAGTTCATGGCCAGGGCTTTGAGAGGTCAAGATTCACTGTCTGAGGTGGAGCTCTCCCGACTAATTTCAATCTGCAGCGAGGGGAGGTTGTCTAATCGACTCTTCTTGTGTGATCGCTCCTTTTCTCTGATCAGAGCACCCCATGCACGTTGGAGCTCAGTGTCGTCATCCTCATCCTTTTCTTCTTTCACCACCACTTCTTCCTCCTCTTTCTCTGCGGCTGGCTCTTTCTCTGCCTCTTTCTCCACGATCTTCTCACTCTTCCCTGGGGGTTTGCCAAGGCGGTTCCATAAGCTCCCTGTTAGGAAAAAGACAGCAGAATTAAAATCAGTTCCGGGCTTTCTGATACGTGTGCTTTAAAGAAAGTTTTCTGACAGTTTTGAGATTGCGGCAGCAAAAATGACCAACATTCCTAGTCTCCCAGCTCTGATTGTTTGTTCCAACGTTTATATTTCTATAGCGCCTTTCAGAAACCAGCCCCTCAACCGGTATTCCAGTGTTTTTTTTTAAATGCAGTCAAGGTATTGATATGAAGCTGACAGGAGGCCAATTTGTACACAGCAAGATTCCAGAATACAGCTGTGTAATGATCAGATTACGGTTTCTTAAAACTGTATTTTTTGAGTGGTAACTATTGACTAAAAAATAATAAAAGCAACATAAAAACTCACTAGCACTTCTGAAAAGTCATGGATTATTTTAACGTACTCATTCAGATGTGAGCATCACTGACAAGGTCACCATTATTGGTCAAGAGAAGTTTACAGCACAGGCCCATAATGTCTGTACTGGTCAACAGCGATCTGACGCCAATCCCACTTTCCACCTTCTGGTCCATGGAGACTCTGGCAAACCAAGTGACAATCCCAGGTATGGAGGGATTGTTTTATGAGCAAAGGCTAAACAGGTTGGGACTCTACTCCCTGGAGTTTAGAAGAATAAGATGATCTCACTGAAACATATTGGATTTTTAAGGGGCTTGACAGGATGTTTCTCTTCATGGGAGGGCATATCTCAGAATAATCTAAGACTGAGGTGAGGAGAACTTTATTTCGCTCAGAGGGTTTGAGTGTCTTTGGAACACCTTGCCACAGAGAGCTGTAGGGACAGAGTTCTTGTGTATATTTGAGGCTGAGATCGGTAGATTCTTGATCAGTCGGTGAATTGAGGGTCACGGGGAAAGGGCAGGATAGTGGATATTAGGAATGCCGGGTCAGCCATGATCCACTAAATGGCGAAGTAGGCGTGAGGGACAGAATGGCCTAATCCTGTTTTATTTCTTATGGTTTTAACTAAATCCTGCTCAAATAGGAGTTTTTGACTCGACTCCCCTTTCAGGCAGAAAGGTCCAGGCTCCCACCACCCTTTGGGTGAAAACATTCCCCGTCAATTCTCCTCTTAGTCTTCTACCTCTGACCTTTGAACTATGCCCCTTGGTTATTCACGCCTCCACTAATGGGAGAAAAAGCCTTCCTGTTGACCTTTTCGATGCCCTTTGTAAGGTTATGCATCTGTGTCAGGTCCTCTCTCAACCTTCGCTGCTCCAATAATAACAAGCCCAGCCTCTCCAACCTCTCTTCCTAGCTCACAGCCTCCAGCCCAGACAGTATCCTGGTGAATCTCCTCTGCAACCACATCCTTCCTAAAATGTGGTGACCAGAACTGCACAAATAAAAACCGAAAGAACTGTGGATGCTGTAAATCAGGAACAAAAACAAAGTTGCTGGAAAAGCTCAGCAGGTCTGACAGCATCTGTGAAGGAAAACGTTTCGGGTCCGGTGACCCTTCCTCAGAACTGCACACTGGATTTCAACCAGACTTTTTTTTATTGTTCATTTGTTGGATGTGGGCATCGCTGGCTGGGCACAGCATTTATTCCCCGTCCCTAGTTGCCCCTTGATAAGGTGGGGGTGAGCTGCCTTCTTGAACCGCTGCAGTCCACGTGCTGTGGGTTGACCCACAATATCCTTAGGGAGGGAATTCTAGGATTTTGACCCAGTGACAGTGAAGGAACAGTGATATATTTCCAAATCAGGATGGTGAGTGGAACTTGGAGAGAGGGTGTGGTGTTCCCATGTATCTGCTGCCCTTGTCCTTCTCGATGGAAGTGGTCGTGGGTTTGGAAGGTGCTGCTTGAGGATCTTTGGTGAATTTCTGCAGTGCATCTTGTAGATAGTACACACTGCTGCTACTGAGCGTCGGTGGTGGAGGGAGTGGGATGTTTGTGGATGTGGTGCTAATCAAGCGGGGGCTGCTTTGTCCTGGATGGTGTCAAGCTTCTTGAGTGTTGTTGGAGCTGCCCCCATCCAGGCAAGTGGGGAGTATTCCATCATACTCCTGACTTGTGCCTTGTAGATGGTGGACAGGATTTGAGGAGTCAGGAGGAGAGTTACTCGCCGCAGTATTCCCAGCTTCTGGCCTGCTCTTGTAGCCACTGTGTTTATGTGGTGAGTCCAGTTGAGTTTCTGGTCAATGGTAACCCCCAGGATGTGGATAGTGGGGGATTCAGTGATGGTAACACCATTGAATGTCAAGGGGCGGTGATTAGATTGTCTCTTATTGGTGATGGCCATAGCCTGGCATTTGTGTGGCACGAATGTCACTTGCCACTTGTCAACCCAAGCCTGGATATTGTCCAGATCTTGTTGCATTTGAACATGGGCTGCTTCAGTATCTGAGGAGTCACGAATGGTACTGAATATTTTGCAGTCATTGGCGAACATCCCCATTTCTGACCTTATGGTGGAGGGAAAGTCATTGATGAAGCAGCTGAAGATGATTGGGCATAGGACACTACCCTGAGGAAATCCTGGAGCTGAAATGATTGACCTCCCACAACCACGACCATCTTCCTATGTGTCAGGTATGACCCCAACCACCAGAGAGTATGCGCCCAATACCCATTGATTCCAGTTTTTCCAGGGCTCCCTGATGCCACACTCGGTCGACTGCAGCTTTGATATCAAGGACTGTCACTCTCACCTCACCTCTGGAATTCAGCTCTTGTCCGTGTTTGAACCAAGGCTGTAGTGAGATCAGGAGCTGAGTGGCCCTGGCGGAACCCAAACTGGGCGTCACTGAGCAGGTTATTGCTGAGCAAGTGCTGCTCGGTAGCACTGTTGGTGACACCTTCCATCACTTTATTGATGATCGAGAGGAGACTGATGGGGCGGTAATTGGCCGGGTTGGATTTGTCCTGTATTTTGTGTACAGGACATACCTGGACAATTTTCCACATTGTCGGGCAGATACCAGTGTTGTAACTGTACTGGAACAGCTTGGCTAGGGGAGCGGCAAGTTCTGGAGCACAAGTGTTCAGTACTATTGTCATGATGTTGTCAGGGCCGGTAGCCTTTGCAGTATCCAGTGTCTCCAATGGTTTCTTGATATCACGTGGCGTGAATCTAATTGGCTGAAGACTGGTATCTGTGATGCTGGGGACTACAGGAGGAGGCCGAGATGGATCATCCACTTGGCATTTCTGGCCTGAAGATTGCTGCGAATGCTTCAGCCTTATCTTTTGCACTGATGTGCTGGGCTCTTCCATCATTGAGGATGGGGATATTTGTGGAGCCTCCTCCTCCAGCGAGTTGTTTAATTGTCCACCACCATTCACGACTGGATGTGGCAGGACTGCAGAGCTTAGATCTGATCCGTTGGTTTTGGGATTGTTTATCTCTGTCTTTTGCTGCTTTTGCTGCTTGGCATGCAAGTAATCCTGTTTGGTGGCTTCACCAGGTTGATACCTCATCCTCAGGTATGCCTGGTGCTGCTCCTGGCATGCCCTCCTGCACTCTCCGTTGAACCAGGGTTGATCCCCTAGTTTGATGGTAACGGTTGAATGGGGGTTAAGCCAGGCCATGAGGTTACAGATTGTGCTGGAGTACAATTCTGCTGTTGTTGATGGCCCACAGCGGCTCATGGATGCACAGTCTTGAGTTGCTAGATCTGTGCAAAGTCTGTTCTATTTAGCACAGTGATAATGCCACACAACACAGTAGAAGTTATTGTCAACGTGAAGGTGGGACTTCATCTCCACAAGGCCTGTGCGATGGTCACTCTTACTGATCCTGTCATGGACAGATACAACTGCAGCTGGCAGATTGGTAAGGTTGAGGTCAAATATGTTTTGCCCTCTTGTTGGTTCCCTCACCACCTGCTGCAGACCCACTCCTCACTATTTATCACTCTACCAATTAGTGTGTCATGTGCAAACTTCTTGACTACAGCCCCTGGCTTCCCCCAACAAAGCTGCCTGATTGTAGCTTTCGTATTTCTCTATCTTTGTCCAGCTGTCTCACAGACTGGGCACTCTATCGAGGAGGGGAATGGATGTCTAGACAGGACAGAAAGGCCCTAAGACTTACCGCTCTTCTTGCTCTTATCAGGTGTGTAGCTCCTGCTATCGTGCTTGGGGAAGCCCAGCCTGCTGTGAACATCTGTGTGCGGCTCCCTGCGGGTGACAGAGATGCTGCTAGGTTGTGGGGAGTGTGGCCTCTTCCCCAGTCGCTGCCTGATACCTGAAAGCAATACAAGGAGGACACCATCAGACCCAGAACCAGCACAGAACAGCTTCAGTTGACAAGACTGCAGTCAGACAGTGCAGGACACCATTCAGCCCATCATGTCTGTGCAGTAATCCCACGTCTTTTTTTTTCCCCCAGGAGCCCTGCTGAAAATTCCTTGTTGAGCTTTTAATTGTTTTGACCATTCCTGCTAAAGCTGCTTCCCCTGCGCTTTAATGCTGGGCATTCCTGATCAAATCTCTCTGTTGTTAAAAACAGACTCTTCTCTATGCACCAATGGAAACAGTTTCTCCCAGTTACTGCTTTCAAAACCCTTCATGATCTACAACACCTCAAATAAATCTCCCCTCATTCCTTTTATGGAACAATCTGGCTTCTCTAAGCTAAATAAAATGGTTTTATCTTCCCTGAAAAACAGGCGGTTTGTTGGACAGATCAGGTTCTACAATATAGTCTACATTCAAAAATCTAAAGAACATGGACAACATGGAAAACAACCAGAAGTTGTTGCTGCTGACACTACAGGTTGTTCAAGTTGTGTATATTCTCTTCGGAGTAATTGGATGAGTTCAGATGGTGCAGATTAATACCAGTGCCAGTGACTGAGGTGCTGCTGCCACCACCTCCAGCTGGTTGCTGCCTCTCTGCGAGCTGCCGTTTCTCCTCCAGCAGCAACCGCACATCTGACACCTTCTCTGTCGACAGCCTGGCTCCAATGCGGTTCCTCAGATTGCTCGATACAATCGTCATGCTTGCCTCTGGCTTTATCGAGTTCCTAAAGAGCACAGGGGAGGGTGTTAGTAAACACTCCATTGATGGGAACATTTCACACCAACAGTTGTGTTTTGTTTTTAAATTCTTTCATGAAACGAGAACCGTGCTGTGAAAGCCAGCATTTCCTGCCCACCTCTTGCTGCCATTAAACTGATGGCAGTGAAGAGGGAACCACATTTCTAACAGTTATGTGCGGGCCAGATCGGGTAAGGGCGGCAGATTTCCTTCCCTAAAGGACATTGATGAAGCAGATGGGTTTTTACAACTGATGATAGTTTCCAGGTCACTATCACCAAAACTAGCTTTTAATTCATTCCACCAGTTGCCTTGCTGGGATTTGAACCAGACTCCCCAGGACATCAGCCTGGTTTCTGGATTACTATCAGTGACATTACCACAACGCCACTAACAATTTGCTTTAAAGCCCAAAAAAATGTCAATCTGGAGAAACTGCATTTAGTTCTGGGCACCAGAGAACTTGGGGCTGAAAAGGTTAAAGTCTTGAGGGCTGGGTCAATAGATCAGATTTGCAATCCCTGGAGTTATAGACTGTATGGAGTTAATGGAGATTTCTGCTTCAGGTTCTGAAGAACAATCATACTGGATTCAAAATGTTAAATCAGTTTCTTTCTCCATAAATGCTGAATTCACACGACACCAAGTTATAGCCCAACAGGTTTATTTGAAATCACAAGCTGAGTTTCTGGTCAATGATAATCCCCAGGATGTTGCTAATGGGGGATTCAGTGATGTTAACAGCGTTGAATGCCAAGGGGCAGTAGTTAGATTATCTCTTATTGGTTATGATCATATCCTGGCATTCATGTTGCACGAACGTCACTTGCCACTTGTTAGCCCAAGCCTGGATATTGTCCAGATCTTGTTGCATTTGAACATGGACTGCTTCAGTATCTGAGGAGTCGCAAATGGTGCTGAACATTGTGTCATCATCGGCGAACATCCCCACTCCTGATCCTATCAACCAACGATAGTTCATGTCACCTGACAAAGGAGCAGCATTCCAAAAGTTTGTGATTTCAAATAAGCCTGTTGTTGTGTGACTTGTAACATTGCACACCCTAGTACAACACAGCACCTCCACTCCATAGATGCTGTCAGACCTGCCACGTTTCCACACCATTTTCTGTTTTTATTTCAGGTTTCCCCAGCATTTGGCTTTTATTTTACTACTTGATGCCCACATCCCACAAACGAATAAATTTTTAAAAAAATTAGTTTCTAACACCTCTCCTTGCTTCTTGTGCCAAAATACCAACTGACTGTTGATGAGCAGCGAGCAGGCAGCGCTGGACAGAGTGGACCAGCAGATAAGGCCCCTCCCAGCCGGGGGCCCCTCACTGTCGCGACATTTTGGTAAAATACTCCAGCACGGGGCTCTCACCTCGGGACGGGGGAATCAAACTAGAGGAACGTTTGGGTAACACTCACCGAATAGTCTTCAGCCGAGCCTCCACTTCATCTGCATACATTGTCATCTTGAGACTCTTCTTGGGTGATGGCATTGAGATCATCTTCAGCTCCAGATCATAGTCCATCTCATCAGAATCCGAGCCCCGGGGACTGAAGTGTCCACCAGTGTGACTCTCGTTGCGATATTCCACCACCACACGGTCATCTGCCTCCATCTCCTGCTCTGTATCATCCTCCTCTTCATCCTCCTCCTGAATTGGTTCCTCAGGAACATTCCCCAGACCTGATAACAACAAAACCCATCAATCCACCTTCGAGCTAACTGTAAAACCTTCAACAAGGGAGCCCCGATAGGAAACGTGACTCGCTACTGTTCACTCACTAGCCCCCATCCACCTCCCCTCCCAATCTTCTCATAGAGAGGCAACAGCTGCCCTTGTCCTTCCTTCCTCCCAACCCTTCAGGAACCCACGTGCTCGCTGTTTCAGAGGATTAGATAGGGTGGACAGTGGGAGCCTTTTTCCTCAGATGGTGATGGCTAGCACGAAGGGACATAGCTTTAAATTGAGGGGTGATAGATATAAGACAGATGTCAGAGGTAGGTTCTTTACTCAGAGAGTAGTAAGGGCGTGGAATGCCCTGCCTGCAAAAGTAGTAGACTCGCCAACTTTAAGGGCATTTAAATGGTCGTTGGATAAACATATGGATGATAATGGAATAGTTTAGGTTAGATGGGCTTCAGATTGGTTTCACAGGTCGGCGCAACATTGAGGGCCGAAGGGCCTGTACTGCGCTGTAATGTTCTACATTCTATGTTTCACCACCCTCTTCAATTTCGGATCGAAGGTTCACAGCTCACCAGGTGGCTTCGCCCCACACTGCGAGCCCAAATGTGGATTGAGTTGATCACTTTGGAAAACCTCCAGTTGGTTGCTTGTCTGACCCTGCGCATCCCCAGACCTGTCATTTTTATACTTTACCACCCCCGGCGTCCCGCAACCCTCCCCTGCCACCTCCTAGCGTCACCGCTTCCGCCCCACCCCTCCGCTCCCCAACCGCCTCCTTCCGGCATCCCCTGCCCACCTGTTCCACCTGTGTCTGTTCCCCCTCCCCCCCCAAAGCCATTCCCAGCGTCCCCCACCCGCCACCTCCTGCAATCCCCACACCCCCCACCCTATCCCCCGCCACGTGTGG